ACACAGGGAATGTTCTGAGAGGACCTTCAGCCATCAGCAGTGGCTTTTCATATACTGCTCCACTCCTGTGGGAGCGCCGCCACAAACACAACTATTGATCCACTGTCACACTCTCACACACTCCTCCCCTCGGCATTTCTCTTTTCTCTTAGCCGTCTGGGTAATGTGTGTGTGCGTGTGCGTGTGTGTGTGTGTGTGTGTCAGCCAGGCTAAAAAAAAAATCAAAAAAATAAAAACTCTCCAAAGTGGTCACAGATCCCATGATGTGGTATCATGGGTATCGATGTGTTATTGGTGTCCTATGTATCCTGTGGGCTTTGACTTTTGCATTATGTTTCTATGTATTTTCATCTATTTTCTAACCTATTTATAGCCATAAATGCCCTGCAGTGGATGTGTTCAAAATATGAACTATGCTCCATTATATGGGGACTTTAACTAATTGGAAAAACTGTAAATGGTGACCTCATGCTGAACGACTAAGCCTCACCGTTTCACCCCGTAGCAGGATCGATCTTCCTTTCTCTTCTTGACTGACATCCCATTGATTTCTAATGTAGAATGAACCTTTATTGTGCACTGTTACATTATATCCCGACTGCCTGTTTCCATAAGAAATTCATCAGACTGAGTGAAGCAAGTAAAGAAACACATTTTCACACACTTTGCAAGAAAAAAGAACGCTGAAGGCTCCATCTGAACAAATACTTATTTTTTAATTGATTTGATAGTAGCTGCAGCAAAAGTAGAAACAAAATTCTGTTATTATTTCAGTGTTTTTAATGAGTTATGTGCTTGTGGTTGGTTTCTAGGAAAAAAAATCCTCATGTTATTTGTTTTGTTTGTTTTTATATGTTGATTTTATGCTTTCTGGGGGATAAATTTGACTAAAACTCTCTCTAGGTTACATCAGCAGCTGATTGGAATTCAATAATTTTAATACTTGAAGTATTAGTGGCACAAGGTTGTGTTGTGTTAATTTAGAGTGTAGCTATTCTCTCAGTGTTATGTTTGGAATAGATTGGAACATCTCTGATCTTCTGTGTGTAGGTAGAAAGAAATTGAAAGTTATAAAACTCAGGTTTGTAGGGAAGATTTAAGAAGATCCATCCATTATCTATACACCACTTAATCCTCACTAGGGTCACAGGGGGGCTGGAGTCTATCCCAGCTGACTCAGGGTGAAGGCAGGGGACACCCTGGACAGGTCACCAGTCTATCACAGGGCCACACTTAGAGACAGACAACCAAGCACACTCACATTCACACCTACAGACAATTTAGAATCACCGATTAACCTCAACATGTTTTTGGACCTTGTGGGAGGAAGCCGGAGAACCCGGAGAGAACCCACGCTGCACGGGGAGAACATGCAAACTCCACGCAGAAAGATTCCGGTGCCCCCACCGGGACGCAAACCAGCGACCTTCTTGCTGCGAGGCAACAGTGCTACCAACTGCGCCACCCTGCAGCTATCTAAGAACATACAGTGTAGAAAAGTTTTTTTTCAGTGGACACACAACTGCACATTTTTGTCTTCCCACAAATTAAGCATGCCATTTTGAATGTAGATTACATGTGCAGAGAAGAAAAAAAAAAAAGTCATCTGATGAACACATCTATTCCTCCGCTATTTGCCAATAAACCCAACCTGATGAGTCTTTTATTTTGAAGTCTGCACCATCATTTCTCCATTAATTTCACAGCGCTTGCTGCTTAGTCTTATGGTGAAAAATGTTCTCTGGTATGTCATCTTAAAAGTCAGTCGATGTTTTTAATTTCACCAGTCGAACCAGCTTTTTCATGAAACCTGTTGACCCACAGTTTTACTTGGGTCATGTCAGTCAGTTGTGAGTCCATCAATAATAAAATAAACTCAGAGAACTTGAAGTGCACAGGGAGTTTTTCAAAATATGGAAAAGGGAACTCCTGACAGATGGAGTGAGGAGTGAAATAGAGAGGAGGAGACCAGAGTTGAATAGAGAAAGATTTGCAGGAAAAAAAAAAAAACAGAAAGGGGAGAAAGAAGGGTCTGAGGGACCGCGATGAATCATCTCCACATCCTCTGTACGCTGAATAAATAGCAGGCCATTTCCACATCATAAATATCATCCCTGCTTAATGTGCTGAGCTCCGAGGTGGGCCCAGACTGTCTTACCCTGGGGTTGATTTTTTTTTTTTTTTGAGGAGGGGATGGTGCTGGCTACAGGGAAGGATGCTTTACCTGCAGCCCCAGGAGAGGGGGGCAAAGGGCAGCTTAATCCCTGAAGCAGGTACCATATCTGTCCTGGTCCCAGGAGGGGCAGATGTGCTCCAGATGCCAGGATGGACAAAAAGGAGCATTAATCATTTTCAGCCTGATGACTCTCCCCTTCATCTCTTCAGTGTGTGCACGAGGCTGAGTGAACGACAGACACACATTCATGCACTTCTACATGTCCTCGCTGTCGGAACCACGTGAAGACTTGGGGGCCAAACTGTCGAAATCTGGACAAAAATAGGAGACGATACTTTACGGATACACATTTTCTATCTCTTTTATCCCTCTTGAATGTAGACCTCTCATGCTGAGCAAGTCGGTGACATTGTGCTCCGATTTGTCCTGACGTGTGGAGGGTTGAGCTCATTTTTCTGGATGTCAGGCATTGTCCCCTCTGATGAATCCTCTGGCCTGAAGCCTGGGCAGATTGGCTCACACACTGACTACAGGCAGGTGATTGATGACTGGAGTAGTAGTCTTCAGCTTTGCTCTGATTTCCCCTGACCAGCGTATCTGACAGCCCCAATCGCCAGGCGGACATTGGAATCGGGCCCTCCACCATCCGACGCTTAAACCTCCGGCAGATCTCGCCGCTTTGACTGCCTTGCGCCTCTCTGTGTTTCGAAACGGTGGAAAATCTAAGCTTGAAATGCCTGCGCGCCGAAAAACAATGGTGCCTTTGGAAGACCGTGGTGTATTACACCCACGCAGACGCGAGATAACAGTCAGCTGGCTGTTTTCCACATTCAAGCGCAATTAAGACGGATTTTGTTGCATATCTGGGGTCCCATTCAGAACGGCTTCTCTCAGCATCCCTCACAAAAGGAAGAAAGCGGCGAACCTCCGCCTCCCTTCACAGCCTGGTTTGAAGCCCTTGCATCAGCTATTTGGATGAACACTCGCCTTGGAACACATATAGGTGGTGTATCGTCTCCTCAATTAGCACCTTTTCCAAAGCCCCCCCATGTCCCATTCCCTCCCACAGTACGGGTGTGAAATTTAAAATCCTCCACCAGCGTGATTGCTCTTCTCTTCGGGGCACCGTGCTGCTGAGGCAGCATAATGACAATCACCACAGTAGCCCGGGATGGCGGCGCTACAAAGCAGAGGTGTTTACGGGGGGAAGAACCGCGAGCCAAACTCAGCGAGGAGCGAAGACGAGACGGTGACTTAACAATGGAATTAGCAGCGTCGTACTGCGACTCTCCGATGAGTCATCAGGTTTGCTCGGCCACGCTTCTCAGTGCCAGTCCTGACCGTCTGTTTGTTCCATTAAAACATCCCTCAGTCCCTTCCACCCTTCCCTCATTTCAGACTCCTCTCTACCTCTCGCTGTCCCATGGCAGCTTACCAGGTGGGCAAAGTTGCACCTTGCAATTACCAGGCACCCACCTGGGAGCGAGGATAAACGTCTGGGTGGTTCGAGGAGACATGATTGGCTGCGTCTACCCTCGCTGATGGATGGCTTTTTGGGCATCTGTCTCAGCGGAAGAGCTAGCAGATGATGGCAGGTGGGGGTGGGATTTCTTTTTGGATGTTTTTTTTTTAAAAAATAGAGATATTTTTGTCTTTTATTCAAAGCTCCAGCTGCTATTACTCAATAGTTTCTCTCTGTCAGCCCCCAGTTTTGTCTAACTTTGGCTTCGGAGGATGAAAACGGCACAGAGAAGATGCATCACAGTTTAGAGTTCAGTTAAAAAAGGAAAAAGTCGAGCTATTTTCCATAAACTAAGTCCATCAGTTGCTGTTGCCAAGCGTTCCATTTTTAGCAAATTCAACATACAGTGACAAAGTGACAGATTTATCACTTCAAATTCAACTAATTCACCTTCATTAAGTTGTTGGGGAAAATATGTAAGAGCACGCCTATCGATGTTTTCTACAATATGTTTGGAAATGTTTCAGGAAGATGACAAATCCATGTGTTTGAGCAAATGTAACGGTATCTCAGCTAACACTGGCTGGACTTGCTGGATGTTTAACTACCATCTTTACATTAATTAAACAGCAAGACAGAACTGTTAATTATAGCCCACACTCCAGGGCAAAGCAGTATTACACTAAAATATGTCGTAGCTTTGTTGGACCATAGCTCAAAATGTACTAGTTTCACAATAAAGGCTCTAAAATTGTAAGTTGCCTGTAATCATTTGGCCTTTTCTTTTCTATTGGCCTTTTATTTTTACACTTAGTTGTGTTTTCAGGCGTTGTTTACTTTTGTCCGTTTTCAGTTACTGTTTGCTTTTGTCTGTAAAACTTCCACTCCTATACAATTAAAATCCATTCACATTTACATTTTGAGGGAAACCTGTTTTCGTCCCAGATTACATTTGTTTGTGATGTTTCACAAATATGTTTCAGATCACCATATCTTATTGTTTAATTCATTGTATGTCATATATTCTGCATGTAGTTATTGTTGTTACAGTCTAAACTAAGCATGATAGAAGCTAACTACAGAGTTTTGGTATCAAAGTGTAACCAAACAGCAACTGAAAACTTAAAGTATTACAATGAATGGCGGCAAAAGTCTAACAATAGCGGCTCAGCACTGACGTGAAACAGTCTCCTAGATGAAAGTTCTGTTGATGAACTATACCTAAATCATCCAGTTCTGTCTCCCAATGTGCACTTTGTGGTTCTCTTCAACCAGAAGATTTTCCTCCTACGTCACAGTCTTGTTTCTCAGTAAGAAAATACATTTGTTTCTAAATTAGATGAATTTTCTTTCAAAACATGAATGGAGTGTGGGTGTAGTTGTGCAGTTATTACATCACTTCTTGGACACGGGGTTGATAGGCCACAGTTTGGGTTCAAACACACTTGTGTAAATGTTGACCAACTGTTCAGCGTCTTCCTCACGGCCCACAGGAAGTGCAGGGTTCCTGTATTCAGGCCCTCGAGCCCATCAGTCGCAATGCCAAGTAGGCAAATATTATTAAATCACAACCTGCAGCTTAGACGAGGATGAGTAACACGAGGAGGGCAGAGGGAGGGAGAGGAAACCAATGCACCTTTCTAGCCAAGCCCAGACACATTACTATGGCAGACTTCCCAGTGTCCTGCCCATCAGAGCCCAATCAAATATTCTATTACATTATTCTCCAATTTCTGCCCCCTATCAGCTTCGGGGGCCCAGGGGCCTCGCTACCAACGTCGGCCGAGGAAATGTTTCCTCTGCATCCATCTGTGGTGATGGGAGGACATATTGGAAATCAAAGCAGGAACAGGAGGACGGTGCAGAGGGCAGGTCCCTCGGCTCTGGGCAGGCTCCTGTTTGGCCAGGACTTACCAATCCATGGAAGAAAGCAGTAGGGAGAGGTGAATTTGTACATCACATGCACACACACACACACACACACACACTGCTTACTGTACATACGTATGTTGATAAATATGGGTGAACCATATGCATACAGGAGTAGAAACACAAGACAGCACTTGTTTTTTTTCTTATTCAAAGTTGAGCTATATTCTATTTCCAGTTTTGTAAGTGGAGATAGAGACAGTCACATGGGATTATGCTTGAATTCCCACCAAGTGCAACTTTCACACAGGTCAGTTTCAGCAGCATCTTCGAGCTGAAGATTCACACAGCGGTGAACAAGCTCAGGAAAAACTAAAACAAAAAAAAAAAAAAAAGAACAACAAGCAAGTTCACAAAAATAAACACAGTGAAACTAAAAAAGTAAGAAAATACTGATGGGCAGTGCCAAGACGTGAGAAAAACAATCTTGAAAAAGCCATAAAAACTGCAGAGGACACCCAGTGAGGGCTCTCGCCAATTAATCCGGCCTCTGCTCCTCTGCTCAAGCTGCCCACTGCTTTCCTCTGAGCGGGGTTTTACTGAGCGTTCTGTAATCTCCCACCCTCCCAAAAAAAAAAAATCCCCCTTCAGGAGACACTTCCTAAGGCCTCAACTCATATCTCTGCAGCACAGTCGGTCAGCGTTGTGGTCCCAGCTTAGAAGCACAGCTGCAGAGGTTCTGGCTGCACCCAAAACAAAATCAGAGCCCCCCCTCGTTCGCTGCAGAAGGAGGGAGAATTTTGAAATCTGGCATTAACAGGCATGCTATTTATAATTTTTAATTAGTTATTTTTACACACTTGGTTATTCAAGAATCATTTGTAGGAGTTGCTTTGTCCATTGAAGCATTCACTCTCTCTCAGGGAGCTTCTTCCCAACCACCTCCAACAGTCTGCGCCGAAAAAACATATACATGCTTTTGGCATCTGTTGGCAACTATGTGTTGTAGTTTGTTGGTGATACTTATCATTCAAGCCTAACATTGAATAAATGTTCAAACTCTTAATATCATGCATTTTATTAAGAACTGTGTCAAGAAAGTTATGTTTCCAGCACTACTTGTCAGTCTGTTTCTCTGTTGGCAGCAAAAACTGCCTGGTTAATTTTCATGAAAGTTGGCGAAGAGGTAAAGCACGGGCCAAAGGAGGAATACGTTAAATATTAGAGTCCATGCCTGGTAGCACCACCAGTCGGTCGAAGTTGAACGTGAGTTCACATCAGAGCACCTTCAGCTGTAAACTGAGACCACTGAGGGGCAGCACAGAAGGCCACAGGAGGTTTTTTTCTGCGATCAAATTGTAAAACTCC